AGTACTGAGGGAATTCTGGGGGCCTCCCTCTCCTTCTAATTTCCCTGTTGTCAGGGAAAGGGGGACAGCCTTATCCACCTCAGCAGACCCCACTGCTTAACTATGTTTTTAGGGGTATTTATCTCACTCATTCATTTTTAATCATGCTGACCTGCCCAGTACCTCTTATGGGAATGGAATTTTTTTAGCAAAAGTAGGAGCTTCCATTTCATTTGCTCCTCCCATTTACCTGACTCCACCCTCGCCAACAGCTCCCCTCCTCCTTCCAGCCTCCCTACCTCCCAGCTCCAATGTGTCTTTTCCTCTACCAGCCTCTCAGGTGAACCCGCAAGTCTGGAACACCCAAAGCCCCTCTGTTGCTAAACAACATTCCCCCATTGTGAGTCAAAGAGACTAACCTTTGGGTCGCCCATCACTGTCTTCTCCCACCACAACCTGTCCCATCTCTTAACTTACAAAGGCTTACAAACCTCACCCCTTTCCCAAGTTCTTTCCCTCCAGGTGGCACTAGTAGAAGTGCCAATCCTGCCCACCCCTTAATATCTCAAATCTCCTACCTCAACCTAACAATTATTCCCCATTTCATTCCTGCATAGAAACCTTAGAGGACCTACTGCCCCATCCCTCACATATACAGGAGGGCAAACTGTCCCAGGCCACTTATACCTGGCACACAGATGGCAGCTCCTTTTTATGTGAAGGGACCCATGCAGCAGGCTATGCCATGGTGTCAGACACTGGGGTGGTGGAGGCACAGGCACTCCCTGCCCATACCACTAATCAGCAGGCTGAGTTAATAACCCTTACCCATGCCTTCCAGTTAGCAAAGGGACAATCTTTAAACGTTTACACAGACTCCAAATATGCCTTTCATATCCTCCTGTCTCACGCAGCTATCTGGAGGGAGCGTGGGCTTCTTATGACAAAAGGAGGATCCATAACTAACTCAGGTTACATTATGGACTTGTTAAAAAGCCTCCCATCTCCCCAAGACTCTCCCCTCAAAAACGGGATGAAACAGCAGACACCAGAGATGGGGAGGGGAGAGAAGGAGGAGGTTAAGAGTGGCCTAATTTAGGACTGGGAAGGGTGCTGAGGGGAAGGCAGAAGGAAGTCAAGAGTAGAAGGGTTCAGGGGAATAACTAACACCTGATATATGTATGGATAGAAAAGTCACAGTTAACCTAGGAATTTGTACAATTAATGTAAATGATAACAATGGAAAGCAAAATATCAAATGCAATGTTTTAAAGGGGCATATCTCCATAACTTTAAAATTCATTTAAGATTCATTTGCAGAAAGGATGGCGAACAAGTCTGGCAATACAAATAGGGCAGGCCCTCAGTCACCCTGCCTATAGACGAGGAGGACACACAGTTACCCCTGTAGAAGGACCTCCAAACGAGGCTCCGTTGATTAGATAAACAAGATGAAAAGAAAGCATAGGGAGTGAGGCCGTGAACACATTAGGAGCCGTGCTCACTATCGACATAATGAAGTGGAACAGAAGCAAGCAGACAACACAGAAAACAAGAGGGGAGACAGGACAATCTCAGCGGAAATGGGCAGCCACCAAATCAGCAAGAGAGAAACTAATGACGGAAAGGCAATCAGACAGTACCGTAAGTGCTTCCTTAAATTGGAAAATTCTATGTAGAGAGAGCACAAGACATACAAAACACATAAATATATAAAACAATCTTCAGATCAACGGGGCAAGCCAGAAGCAAGGAATTTTTAGATATAGCCTACTTACCCATTGAAAATTAAAAGCTTAACATGCAAGCAGAAAGCAAGTTTATTCAGAAGCTAAAATGTAGACAGGCTGCAACATCTCTACAGTACTATTTTAGTACTAGGAGACAGGAAAGCTGTTATACTGAAGAACCAAAGTTCCTCCATTTTGACCTCTGCCTCCATCTTGTGTCTTGTGTAAGCTATTTTCTGTAAAACATTCCAATCCTCAGAAATGGCTAGGGTAGCCATCTGGAAAGTACAGATAACCGTAGAAGTCGGTCAGTCGATAAAAAACCTCGACAAGCAACAGGTGAGGTTCGAAAAAAAATTGTGAAAAGTCCCTAGACCCGAGCCAATCAGGATCAAACCCATTACCCCAAACAGTGCTAATGTAACTTTCCTGGTTTTTGCCTTTATATAATGCTCTCTTGCTGCTGTGCTGACGAGGTCCCTAGCGGTTTGTATTTGTGCATGATAGATAATAAACCCTGCTTTTGCATTTCAGTGTGTCGGTCTCCCTGATGGTCTTTTGGGGTCCCCATAAACTGGGCATAATAATACAAAGTTCTGAGGGAAAGAAAGCCTGACTTAATGACATTGTATCCAGCCAGGAGACTACTGCACATTTAAAGACATGAAGCATATACTTCAACACATGAAAGGACTCATTAAGTACAGTGCCAATGTATAGGGATCTGCAATCAGCATCCAGCTAATGTATGAAGAATTTAGAAGAAAGAGCTCATGAATGAAGACACAAAAACAAGACTAAAGACTGAATCAAATTCATCTGGTATCAAGTTAAGAGTATTGGGAAATATGGCTGTAGACAGAACGGAATGGTTACATAGGTGACAGCAAAGTATACAGCACTAGTCAGCGTACACATGAGTATGCATCTGTGAGTACAGACTCATAGACAGCAGTAGTCAGTGTGCACATGTGTGTATGCATCTGTGAGTACAGACTCACAACAGAGCACTAGTCAGTACACACGTGTGTATGCATCTGTGAGTACAGACTCATAGACACATAGACGCAAATGTAACAAAACAGAGATCTGGAGAAGGGAAGGAGAAATGTGTATTCCAAACGCTGTACTCCATAACATAAAGGTAAACTGATAGCACTTACAAAACCTCTGCAGGGGGAGGGGTAAAGGTGGTGTGATCAAAGTGCATTGTGTGTGTGCATGTGTGTGTGCAAAAAGTCATCATGAAATCATTATATATGCTAATATATATTATTACAAACCCCTGATTTCAATGTTCCTCACAATTACTTATTACTTTTTTAACCTAAAATTATCCTCCTCTTATAGATAAAAATAGAATTATTCTGAGGTCTAATTATCCCTTCATTTTTACCTATTTCTATTTTTCTGCTAATTTTGACAGACTTTAATATTTTTATCTAAAAAAAATCACATAGGGCAGAATGTTCTTTTAAAAAGCAGAAACATTGTTGCCATTCAATCTACCTACTTTGTCTTCTAATTGAATAATTTATTAGGAAGTATCTGACCAAACTGGCTGCAGTGGGACATGCCGGCCTCTCAGTTTATGGGAAGTTGAGGCAGGAGGATCTTGAAGTCAAGACTAGCATGGATAAATGGAAAATTTGAAACCAGCCTGTATTCCAAATAAGACTAACTAAAATAAATAAATAATTAGAAGTTCGACTAACATTAATAACGAATATTTCCGGGTGTCATATTCTGGCTGATTATTGTTAAGCATTGACCTTTGTGCTGCTCTCAATCATTTGCATTCCTCACAAGAAGCATCATTATATTTTACTTAAAAAAATTTTTTCCAGGAGCCGGGCGGTGGTGGCGCACGCCTTTAATCCCAGCACTTGGGAGGCAGAGGCAGGCAGATCTCTGTGAGTTCGAGACCAGCCTGGTCTACAAGAGCTAGTGCCAGGACAGGCTCCAAAGCCACGGAGAAACCCTGTCTCGAAAAACCAAAAAAAAAATAATAATAATTTTTTTTTCCATTAAAAGAGAAAAATGCCTACAAATATCCGAGTTAAGACGTTGAGCAAGGGAAACCCAGGTGGCTGAGTGTTGAAGGTCATCATCATTTATTATTTACATAAATTTACATTATTTATTTAAACCTAATTTACCTTCATTTCCATTTGTTTTATTACTTCTTTCGTTTTTGTTGAGACAGGGTTCTCACTGCACAGCTCTGGCTGTCCTGACAATGTATAGATCATTCAGGCCCTGAACTCAGAGATCCTGCCTCCGCCTCCTGAGTGCTAGAATTACAAGCATGCACCACCATACTCAGCGCTATTCTTTACAGTTACTTTAATTTGTTGAGGGAGAAGAGAGAGACAGGTGGGGTCAGGGAAAGAGAGATCCAGAGATAAGTGAGAAAAAGCAGTTGGAATAGGGAAGATGTAACTCGGTGTCCGAGCTTTTCTTCAGCATGTATGAGACTCTAGTTCAATCCCAGTACCAGGCAAGGTAACCCCCTCTCCCAAATTAGTTACCGTTGCCAGGACCCACATTTGGGCAGACCTAACTTCATAACCTGCCTGGCTGGGTGCCACTCGCTCGCTAACGCTGCGCACCTTACTGTAATTTTGCTTTTGTTTTTCAGGCTCTCGACACAACCTTCTGATCATAAATTGACTTTGTGTGTGGCTTCCCTACGGGGAGAGGATGAGCAGATGCCAAGCACGCAAGGGCGAGCCCCAGTTTGTCTTGTTCACTGCTGTAGCTACAGCATCTGGTGTTCGGCTGACTCTTGATGACGTCACCTAGAGACAGAATCTCAGCTTGGATCTGCTGGGAAGTTACACCTACCTGACTCCAATCAGTAAATTGCCATTCTGGGTTTCTGACTGGACCCAGGAAGCCCGGTTCTCAAGCCCCATCCCCCTCCCCTTCTCCTCTCGGAAAGATTGAGCCTCTGGTTGGTGATAGGATTATGACTCACACTTTTCAAAGCTACCAGCCTAGGCAGGAACTTTCCTGACACAGCCAAGGTCGTGTCTCCCCGGAGCCAAGGCCCTCTGAAGCTTTTCTGTTGTCTCATTTCTCAGACGGCTGGGCAGGGTACCAGCTGCTAGGTCTACTTCCTGTGTACCTGTTTATATAAGATAGAAGAATTGGATTTTATAATTTTAACTTCCCTTTACTACCATTTGTGACTTAGATAAGATGAAAAGGTATTTTTTATGCCTTTCATGATTTTAGTATATTTGAATCTCTTGACTGAGGGGGGAAAGTCTCATTTTGCTCTTTCAGGATCCAAATCAAGAATTATGAGACGATTCCTGCAAACAGTGTGTTTATGTATGCATGAATGTAAGCATTATGAATTTTATTTGGAAGCGGGAGGAGTGAGGTTTAACTAAGAGAGAGAGAGAGAGACGATAAAAGCCGTTTGGGTTAATGAGGTGGAAGGGGCATTGTCGGGGGAAGAGAACACAAACCTTGTCTTCCTGACAGCTGCTACCTGCACCGAGTTCTCCGAGGGAGGACGCCTGCAGGATGCAGGTGGTGTGCAGTCTAAGCGCTGCGGTTCCAAGCAGGATTGAAGGTTAGGGTGAGGGAACCACTGAGAAGATCTCCTTGAATCCCCTGGCTGGGGAGAGTGTCTACCAGATGCCAGAGTTAATCAAGCCAGTCAGAACCTGTGGCGGCAATGGCCGTGGCCACCATGTACCTAGAACCGGGTTCCCTCCATCATCTGGTGCCAGGTTCACTAAGGACTCATGTTGGTTATTTGGTAGCCATCCTCAGAGCCCCGATAATGCTAATCTGATGGTAGATTGAATTTGCCTAGAAAAACAGTCTTTTTTACAGTACTGCCGAAACTCATTTCCAAGATACGGGCATATCTATATGTGTGGTCAAGAGCTGAAAAGGCGTGTTAATGTGTTTGTTACGTTTGTGATTGCTTTTCCCTCTCCACGTTTGCAAATGTTTCCTACTTTTCAAATATCAGTGGGGGTGTCCTGTGCCGCCACCCCCCTATGCCGCCTGACTGGCCACGGACCATCCACTAGTCCTGTTGACGTTCATGGTGAAGCAGCCGGAGAAGCTAGCCAAAAGGGCAGAGAAGGACTCCAAGGCTGAGCAGGCCAAAGTGAAGAAGAAAACGGAGGAGTGTGCTCACACGTCCCACGTTGATGCAGTGGTCTCTAAGGTGCAGACAGCTGTGACCAAGAAGGGACTGACTCAGAGTTCAGTACAAGTGACGAGAGCTCTAGGCAAGGCCTTGAGTTCCATGGATCCACAGAAGGTGTCTGCCGTGATGGACAGGTTGGAGCAGCCAGTACAGGACCTGGACGTGCGCACATCAGTACTGGAGATCCTGCACGCTTGGCTACGATGTCTGACAACCCCTCAGGAGCGGATAGACAGCCTCACTGTGCAGCTCAGCTGGGAAAAGTAACCAGCACAAGCAGCTTCCAGAGGCTGCCCCTACTGTGGGCAAAAGCGCTGTGCCTGCAGGGAAGACCCGCTGTCTTAGGGTCGGCAGCCCTGAGGAATTAGTGTGGCCTGGGCAGGTGCTGCACCCCCTGCCTCTGACGTACTGCAGGCTTCACCCCTCCATGTTTGCCTTTCACTGACTCTTCTCCCTACCTGCACTTTAGAACCGGTTCTTAGCTTGTGCAGTGCTGTGTCCTGGGGTTAAATTTTCACAAATGTATGGGTGAGTTCTGTGGCTCTGGGCCACAACTGGAAAATGCTCTGCTTTGTCCTCTGCCTGTTTTCCAATATATTTACAAGCTGGAAAAAAAAAGCAATTTAAGTCATTGATTACATATGAATATCATTATGTAAATAATATTAGGGCTTTGATTTTCAATTGGCGATGAAATGGAGAGTCATTTTGGGGTCTTGAGCAGAAACATGATGATCTGATTTATTCATAAAAGGATTATTCATGACGCTAATTAAAATAAATTGTGTGGGTCACAGAAGGGGGGCAGAAGATGGAGAGGGGAGGGAGGTGAGCGCGAGAGAGGAAAACCCATCAGCAGGAAAATGGCTGTTATACTAGTTGCCTGGGAAGAATTTTAGCAAGGTATTATTGAATATGGAAAAAGTCTATTATGATCTATTTGAATAAGACAGCCAGTCAAAGAAGGAAGGAGAAGGCAGATAAAAAAAAACATGTATTGTCTTAAAAAACAGCCATGATCTACCTCCAACTACATCTTTTTGCCAAAGTACATGTTTTTGTATGTGCTCCCATACACAGAGTGGGGGAGTAGTTCCCAAACCTCCTGCATGGCAGGGAAGTGGACAATGGCTCAGAAAACCTAACGACAGAACTGTGGTCACCAAGCTCGGAGGCACTGAGAGCCTTGCCAGGAAGGGCACAAGCTGGTATACATTACTACACACACTAAATTTTTAAACTAATAATTTTCTTCCTGATATTATTTACATAATGGTATTCACATGTAATCAATGACATAAACTTCTTTGAGCTTACTAAATCTGATGTAAAGCCTTATTTCTAAAAGTTTATTTTAAGTAGGAGAGATGTACGGCATAGCCACGCCCAAATCTTCTGTCTACTTTCTTTTCTTGAGACGTTATTAATAACCAATGAAAACTGTCTCTCAAACTCTTTCTCCTCCCCACTACTCACTCAGACTCTCTCTTTCACACACACACACTTCTAGACAACATGCTGATAAGGACAGCAATTAGTTTATCAGTTCTAAATTACCAGCAGTAATTACTAACAGAGAAACAAGCCAATTTTTCTCTCTCCCCATTCTCCTCCCCTCCCCGGAAGCTAGGGAGAAGAGTTTGTTCAAGGTGACACAGAAGCAGTTGACTGTAGCGCTTGCTTTCCAGGAGCCACCGTTTCTCTTAAGCCAGCTAAAGTCAAAACGGTTCCAATAGTCAGAATGTTCAGTTGGGCTTCACTAGTAATGGTGTCAATGAAAAGGAATGAAGATCAATGGGCCAAGCAAACACATTACCCTTCTTTCTCCCTCTATTGTGATGTTCAGTCAGTTACACAGACCCTTTTGATCACGAGAGGCTGAGGACTTGGTCAAACTCCACAGCTCTGAATCAATGTCACATCCCCTATTTTTCAAAAAGCTTTTGTAATGCCGCTAACAAGCTGTCCTGTGTGCGCTGCTGTGCTCCCAAACACCTTCAAGTACATCATCTCATTTCACTCTTAACTCCTAGGGAGACATGCCATGCTTTCCCTGGCACTATCTAGTAGAAAGGCAAGAGGGTTAGAGTGGCTTAGCGTCATAGCATCAGCAAGTAACAAAGATGGGGCCAGAACCCAACAACAATGACTCTTTCTGAATGCTGAGGCTATGCTGCTTCCTGGCCTGACAGCCCAGAACTTGATTTTATTTTCATGTTCTGTCCTGAACGACAGCTGGAATAAGCTTTGGGAGGCAAAGATCTAGCTGTGTAGATGATGCCCAAGAACAGGATTCGGGATATCGGGAGTATGTCAAAGCTTCTAGACTCCCAAGACTCAGTCAAGGACAAGGCATGTCACCAGAGATGGAGACAAACGCACTCATCAGTACAGCCCTTCAAACCTAAAAGCTCCTCAAACAGATCAGTAAAAGCAAAGGAAGAATCATTGGCTGGATATCATGGTACATGCTTTTAAGCCTAGCACTCCAGCGGGGAGGCTGAAGCAAACAGATCTGTGAGTTCATGGCCAACCTGGTCTACATGTCAAGATCCAGACCAATCAGAGTCTACACAGTGAAACCCCTCTCCAGGCTGGGGGATGGGATATTGAAGGAGGAGAGAGAGAGAGAACAAACACTGAATGAAATAATTTTTAATAGATCAGCTATTAGTAGTTAAGGTCTTGGAGCCTGCTCCTATTGTATGCATCAATGTATAATCAAGTTCAAGAAAAAAAAAAATTAAAAAAAAAAAAAAAAAAAAAAAAAAAAAAAAAAA